TGCGCATCACTGACACTTTAGTTGATTCTTTCTGGTGCCGCCCTCAGTCGACGCAGGCCCACTGCACCAGTGAGAACCAGCCGTACATCAACTTTTGACAAATAATTAATCTGAAGTTCACGTTGGGGAATAATCGCAGTTTAATGCTCCTGTTACCTCTGTTCGGACGGGAATGGATTCGGACGAGCATGGCTGCAAATGAACAGAGTGGAACTATGCAATTATTTACCGTACTGACAACACAGATACAAGCTAAAAGCCCAGACATGCGTGTTTCACCGATCTTTTCCCGCTGTCTGACATAGCTTCGAGGGGTTCGGCTCATCAGTGGCTCCCCCAGCCCTCCCTGTATGTTTGCTGGTAAATGAACCTCAGTTTCACTCTGCCTCGCTTGATATCCGAGGAAATTAATGCGTCAACTTGGAGTAAATCCTCTTGGCGGTTTGTGAATATTACGCGGCTATTCCGCAGTAACTGATGGATTTCTGCTGAAAAATTCACATCAAATTTCGGACCGTACCTGAAAAAGGTCTGTTCCGAAGGATTTATTCCATGTTCGCGCATTGATTTTCTTGAAAATTAAACAAGGCACAGTGGGGCTTGACGTACAGACTGCAGAAATGCACGATGGACCTGACAAAGAGTATATGTGTGCCTTTTTTGCTCTAAATGAAGAACAGTCTGTGGACGAGTTGCAAAAACAGACTTCGTGGTAAACAAAAATCGGGTGCACATCTGGGGTGTATAAGCCTTCTGAGTGTGAAGTATCAATGCGAAAAACAAGTCCATTCAGGTTTCGGGATCTTACAGCTTTAAAAAGTGAGCCTCTCTGCTCTGTATACGATGGAATCCGTGGAATTAAACTGAATGTCAACGTTTGACAGACTGCTTTCATGATGCATGACACAGTCCAAAACGGCCAGTTTTTAGCTAAAGTATGTTTATGCGTCGCGTCAGCTAACGTATCAAGCGATCATATAGGGTATCTCTTCTTATGGTCCTTTTGAATTTTCATACAAACAGCTGCGACAAGATCTGATTTTATAGCCGTACCTGTTAGGAATTAGGGTTAAAGGTTAGGGAAAGCATGCGCCTTGTAGAATGAAATCGCTAAACGCTAATGCAATGGCTGATCTGGCTAAAAAATTATTCGGGCATTGGAAAATATTAGTGAAACCCAAAGATACCCTGACTTTAATCGCAGAACATAAAGTTGATGTGATTTGCCACCAAATGAGTAGAACGCATTTCACAATGTCGGCCAAAATTTCATTAGATCGGTCACTCAATGTAGGTACGACTACAACTGTTATTTGATCAGTTATGAAATTGCAGGTGCAACAACAGCCTGACTCCAATATAAAGAAAACTCAGAGGTGCATATTTACTGACAGTTCATGTTTTGCAAAAAAATGGTCGATTTCGAAAGTTTTGCATTGCACAATATCCGAAAAACTTTTTAATGAAAGGCGCCATAAAATATTCCAACTTCCTGATTTTTCTCACCATTGACTAAGTAGTTTACTAAAGAACACTCATCAAGTAAAACAGTTGGATGCAGTTTATAAACCTTAGACATAGTCTCCACAATCTGTCCACTAGAGCAAAAGTGCAAATAAAACCATCGAATCGACGGAAGAGATCATTTCCCAGAAAAGAACAAACGAGCACGATTTTAACATCGGTGCTATTTACCTGGTATGATAATTCCTCGGACATTAAGCTCACCGGTAATGTCAATGAAAACAGTGTTTATCCCGCTCATGCAGGTTTCTCATAAGTTGCCGCTGGTGTTTCGATTACTAAACTTGGTAAAGTTGCGAGGGAAGCAATTGCATCACTGAGCCAGAAACATCAGCCTGGACGCGGACGACCGAACTCACATTTGCAGCGACGAGGAATGGCGCCAACTCCCAAAACTACGACTCATCCAACAAGACTCAGTCACACATTTAAGCTCGGCTAGGTCAGAATTCTAACTAGAGGTAACACTTGCGGGAGTCGTGAGCTGCTTGACTCATGGTTATCTGGCCCACAGTCAGTCAACGAACACACTGGACCTCAAACCCCTCCCCCTTTTTAGCGCTTAAAAGTTCCTCCCTCTTGGTTTAGAGTTGCCTCTCAGCTTCGCCTGTGAAACTGCACTGTGTACATATTATCGCCTTGGGAAAATTTATGCGAAAATCGTGCTGGCAGGTCTCGTGGCACGGTCTTTTCCAACAAACCTGGCACGCGGAAAGCATTCGAGGAGGGCGACCGCTTCTCGGCCCCTAAAAGCTGCGTCACTGTCTTCCTGGCCCCAGTGGGCTTGTGGAGCACTCATGCCGATGGTTGTGTGTGTGATGACGTCAGTCATGCGGGGGTGCGCGCAGGTGGATGCAGGTTCAGATCACATTATCAGTAAGCCTAATATCCGAGTACAGTTAGAGACCTAACTCATGAAATGTGTCGGAATTTACGAATGAATGCCAATCACCCGAAAACCTACACCAGTTCATGAGTCCAATGTCCATGTTAACGAAGTACAAGTTTGAAAGAATTAACAACATAAAGGGAACATTGAAGGCAGTGTTGCGTTGTTTAAAAATGTTGATTTTTTTAAAAATCGCAATATCCCGAAAACGTCAGAAATGGCTTTGATTTAGTGAACTAAGTTTTAGATGTATAAAATGTATTCTCATACCACAACGTGGCAAATATGAAAGTAGACATACAATAACGTCTAAAAATAGTGTTTCAGCGAAGTTTACATCTAAATATCGTTTAATAATTAGTGTGATTTCATATATGACGGTTTGTCAACTGCCTGCATTCTAAGTGCAGATTCCAAAGCAGTTTTCCAGGGTTTCGTGTTATCCTTGACTCGTTTGAGTTAAATGAGATGGAGTTCAACGAGATAAACTGGATCTTGCCTGATTTCACCGGAGGGGACTTCGAAGGCACAACAGTTTTCATAAGATAACATGCCATGAGGCCAGTCGGTGCCTAAAAAATTCAAATAGAACTAACAGGCGTGATCATAAACATACCATTTTCTGTTTACAGAGAACACTTTTCTTCCGTTAAATTAATTTACACTTTTCGTTCGTTTTGGATTACGCTGAGTTTCAGATCGGCCTCAAAGTTTTGCTGAATACTTCACGGTCTTCAGTGTTTTCACCCCATTGTCCATAAAGACAGATTGTAAAATATCACGGTTAACATTGGACATAAAATAAATTTTCAAGTTCAGCTAAATCTGTTTATTAAAACTCTCGCGGGTAAATTACTATCCTTTCAATAAAAAAATCCTTCAGATGCGTAACCGGAGTCCAGGTCATGTACTAACATAGGAAATTGCACGAATATATTTTAATGTCCATTTTCGCTTAAACTTACTGATATTTTACTTGATATAATTACGTAAGCACAATTTCTGCACAAGAGAAGGACGTTTCATTGAAAGATTGGGTGAGTGAACAAAATGCGCAACGTTAAAGATGTCCAGATATTCTCGCATCAGTTTCCGTTATCAGATTTCATGAGATAGGTCACGTACTGTACTTGTCATGTCAATCATTCTCAGGGAGCGGATAATGAGCTACACGTTCAGCCATCGGAATGGCAAATGTTTCAGTCCTGAATTCCAATCCTCATGTTTTATTTTTTGAAAAATGCACACAAAACTGATTGCGTCGACAGTAGCTAACATGAATATTGTTGCATTTCCACCTGGATTTCCTAAACAATCTGAATCGAGTTCGAAACTAACTTGACATTTTTTTACACATATCGCCAAATTGCGTTTCAAATCATCATCTCAGGAAGACAGGGTTTCTATTGACCTAACCTCATTTTAGTGCTCTCTCCTCAAGAACCTTGGTTTGGTTTAAATTTAATTCAAATGAGTGTTTACAGTTTAAGCGTGAAGGATATCTTTCCGTAGATTCTGCCCTTATCACGGCATATTTTATTTGAAGAAAACCAAGAAGGGTGTAACATGCCTCACGCGCTCAGCCCTTAGGCGTAAAAGCAGCATACATTACACTGATTCTAGGAGTTCAACCCGCATTTCGCTGCGGTACCTCGCGGGTTCAGTATCAGTCACATGAAGAGGCATGCTCCGATCTATTCGAATTACGGGAACAAAATGCGCATTTTCGTTCCAGCTAGAATTCAATTTTCTGATGTCCAACAAACGATCGCACAGCCACCGACAATCAATAATGAGGGGAGTTTGTACAGTCAGGGGCAAGCACAAGACTGGAATGGTAATCACTGGCGCCTTTTCCGTCCTCGGCCAGGTTTGCCTTGGCGACTATGGGGTGTGTTGCTCCATCTACGTCTTTGCTTCTATCAGATACCTGCATGTGTCATTTGGGTAGGCTTAACTTAGCCCCCTTGCCTTCCACTCATTACCCGTCTCGCCTACCTTAAGGATTACCATTAAAATTAGGATCCAGCCTAAGGGTAGGGGTTAGGGGTTGGGGCTGCCGTCAGTCTCTGGACGTAGGTTTAGAGTTAGAGGTAAGGGTTGGGCTATCAACATTTTCATATTCAATTATATCTTCAGTCTCGGCCGTCACGAGAGTCAGATCTAATGACGTATTCAGCAGACGTTTTCCTTCAATGCGATTGGTCATCACGAGTTGGGGCCAGTTCGCTTGGAATATCAAATCGGTGCACTCGGTTTTCATTTCCATCAATTCACATCTCCTAATTTCCAGTATTTCAAATTGCGCGTCCGGGTTTTATGCTATACTAGCGTATTTAAATAAGTTTTCTGCTTTGGTTTCTCAAAAACGGCTATGACGAAGAAGAAGAAGAAGAAGAAGAAGAAGAAGACACGATCGCCGGGACAAGAGCTTTATTAGCCTGACGTTTCGGATTCCTGCTCGAATCTACCATCAGAGACAAAAGCAGAGGGTGGTTCATGCATATGGGGCAGCAGTATTTATAGGATGCAGTAGCCATGCTACCGCATACCTATGAATATTCACGGTTCTCCCCCCCCCCCTTCATCAGGGATCGTTGCACGTGGCGTGATGGCCGACATTCGCGTCGTTAATTGCTGCGATTTCATCATGTGCGTTGGATGTTGGTGTGATGATTGCTCGACCATCTGACGCGCTGACCCGGATGTTGGGAAGAGTGCTCGCCTGTGCGCTCCCCACGTGGCCTATTACTCCGCCTAGGCGAAGTCTCAGCACGGAGTATTGAATGGGAAGATCATTGCACTTTTTAATAGACTGGGGGCCAGTAAACCATGCCTCAAACAGCTCCTGGCTCACGCGGTTTTCACCTCCAGCGAGAATTCCGGCCTCGTCAAAATTGGATGTGTGGCCGGAACCCGTCGAATGAGCCGCAACTTGACAGCTAGCGTCATTTCTCCGCACCGCTGCAGCGTGTTCGGCCATTCGCGTTTGGAGTTGTCTTCCGGTTTCTCCAAAGTAGTTGCTTTGTCCGCAACTGCACCAGATCCGATAAACGACTCCAGACGTTTCTTGCCGTGGCAGTGGGTCTTTCGCTTTTATTAACGGACGCCTGATGGCTGCCTCTGGTCTGTGTGCAACTCCAATCCCAAGTGGTGCGAGAAGGCGGCCAACAGCTTCCGAAACGTTCTTGACATATGGAAGCGCTCGCCAAACTTTGGTGTCCGTGCGGTTAGGCCTTTCGTCCCTTTTGCGTATGCACCGGTCGACGAAGTTGCGCGGGTAGCCATTGGCTTTGAAGACCCGTCGGAGGTATTGTAGTTCGGCAATTTTGTCTTCCGGCTCACTGCAGTGCGTTTCGACACGCCGATAGAGCGTCCTAACACAACTAAGCTTGTGGCTGATTGGGTGGTTGCTGTTGAAGTTCAGTACTTGCATCGTATTTGTCGCTTTCCTGAACACTTTGGTCTTTAGTCCACCACAATCCTTGCGGCATACGAGGACATCCAGGAAGGCCAGCTGATTGTTCTCTTCCTCCTCCATCGTAAATTGTATGTCCGGAAAGACCACATTTAGACGTTCCTTGAATGTCAGCAGTTGATCCCGGTCGATAACGACGAAGGTATCGTCCACATACCGGGCCCAGAACTTCGGTTTGTGGTGTTGGAAGACCAGCGACTCTAACCGTTGCAGGACTGCCTCGGCGATGAACCCCGAAATCGGCGAACCCATTGGTGTGCCCTTCACCTGTTCGTAGATTGTCCCGCCGAACGTGAAGTATGTCCTGAGACAGAACTTCAGGAACTGAAGGACTTGGGCGCGTCCAAGACGATTCTCCGGTTCATCTTATTTGCTTTGTAGAAGCAGCTCGATTGTCTCGATCGCCAGGTCCTGGGGAATAGAAGTAAAAAGGGATGTAACATCAAAAGATGCCATGACCTCATTTGGATGGAAGCTTACCTCTTTGAGTTTCTTCAGGAATTGTGCCGACAAATAGACCGTGGTGTCTGACTCAGCGGTCAGGAACTTGAGATGCCAGAATAGCCGCTACTCATCAAGCAGCATAATTCTATAATACTTCAGTCACTTCAGGATGCCAGCTTTTGAAAGGACTTCTTTCCGACTGCATGCAAAAACTATACCCTGTAGAGAATATCTACTTAAGAAGCATGCACTTTTCTCATTTATTTTCGATGCTCTTGGAAATTTATCTACATTTCATGGAAAACATGCATAAAAATATTTACTTTGTTGCTCATTCGGTAAAAAATCGCGTATCCTTTCGGTTTTATGTTCGAGAGAAGTGTATAATTCGGTTTTAAAAAAGCCTCTAGTTGTGAGATTTTTCAATACCGTGGAATGGCAGTTCAAATCCGTTGCTGAATTTTATGAACCCCATATGGTCTGCTCTCAATACCGTAGAGAAATGTATGGTTTTCCGTATGCAGAATATATACGACTTGTAGTTTTGAAGCCCTGAATGCTAGTGTAACGGCAGGCCGGTTTCAAAATTATTCGAGAATTGGAAACCTCTTTAAAAACCGAATTATACCCTTCCCTTGAGCATAAAACTGAAAGAGGACGCGATTTTTTACCGAATGAGCAGAAGAGTAAATATTTTTATGCATGTTTTCCATGAAATATAATTTAATTTTCAAGGGCATCGAAAATCAATGAGAAAATTGCATGCTATTTAAGTAGTCATTTTTTTAAAGTTTGATTTTTGCAAGCAGCCGGAAAGAAGTTCCTTCGAAAGCCAGCATTCTGATGTAACTGAATTATTATAGAATTACACTGCAGGATTATTATTTTTACAATTCTACTTAATTAATCTTTTCGAAACAAGAACGCATCTCGGAATCTCGGTTGACATTTCATGGGTTAGCCCACCTACTGTCTGTACGGTTTGGGTAATTTTGGAAGTATGAGGCAATGGATGAGGCCTGCTGTCCTCATCAATACTGATCTCCGAGACAGATGATTCAACATTCTCTGGGTTGGCTACAAACTTCTGTGGCATGTAGCAAGTGTGATTATTTCCGTCCTGCAGTCAGGAAAGACCGACGCACATCACTGCTTCCATGGGATTAAATATTCCAGATGTCAGTCGACATGACGCGAGTCCGTCGGTGCTGTGTTGGCTCGCGATCGTGCGATCTATGCTTGGAGCAGATGACGGAGACTAAGCCAGAAATGGCCATTCCGGTCTCGTTCCTGCTTTTGTCGGTGCATATGCACGACTAATAGCAGCGTGATGTCTAGGCATTATTTGCTTCTATTTTCTCCTGGTGGGTTTTTACACAATCGCGCAACGCGAATCGTAGGGTAAGACTGTATAAAGCCTAAATATGAACGACCTACCTTTCAGAGAAGAGGGCTTTATTGGATGTCTCATGTCTACTTGTGTTTCGGTGAGGGTTCGGGAACAAAGGACTGCCAGTTATCTACCTCAACCGCCGTGACCGAAAACAAATAATGACAGTCGAGCGCACTGTTGACTGGATTATACGGCGCTGGATTGGGGCGTTCAATATTAGTCGATCAACAAAAACAGGGTTCAAGGGTATCAACCAATGCCCAAGTCTTAACTACCAAATAGCCCCATCATTCCTACGTCTCGGATGCCAGCATGGATGGGCTTAGTGCGTAGTCATTTGAATTAACTGATCGCTGAGGCACAAATGTTACTGTTGTAAGATATCCTTTCCGTATGCTTGGGCATCTTAGTCCACCAGTTTTTATTGTGCAGTGGTCATACTTTTACGACTCCATATGAGATTGAAGCCGGGACATTTAACCCACATATTCTGCGTCTGATGTATCTTACAAGTGATTTTGTGTGATAATTAGTGGCCTAAAAGTCACAGGAGGCATTCGGTAGCCTCGCCCTATCCTGAACTCTGTGTAGACCATTTAATGACTAAATATCATTTATCTGGCATAGATGTGAATACCTTACTTATGGTCACGCAGTTCAAGTGTCCCATTTCACTGGAGGGGTCATGTCTTCCGGCTCGGGACGTCTCACCTCTGAAAATGTCAAAATACCCTCATCCTCCGGAATAAGTGTAGTCAGTCCTGTCGAGTTGACTTCGAGAGGATGCAGGCATTGGAAGAAGAAGAAGAAGAAGAAGAAGAAGAAGAAGAAGTAGAAGAAGAAGAAGAAGAAGAAGAAGAAGAAGAAGAAGAAGAAATACTCACTCGACCATTTTTACGGGTTCTCTCCTCGTCAATTCGTTTACTATCCTTCAGTTACGCTGTCCATACCAAAACCGTAATAGCGAATCAATATCTTGGAACAAGGACTCATCGTCCGTGGCTGCTGGCACTCGAAGAGAGAAAAGAACAAGGTCTAAAGTAAAATTTCCCCAGGACCGAGCGAGAACTCCCACCTCTCTCTATTTCTCTGTGTCGACTTTCACTATTAATATTAATTTCTAACTCCAGCCGGTTCAAAGGGCCGCGGTGTTTGGTTCAAATTGCAACATTTATGCAAATACAGCGAAAGGCATGTGGCTTCATGCTGGAAACCTATGCGTTCTACCATCCGAGCGATGCCAGAGCCGCGGGCAGCACAGAAGTGTTGGCCCCGTCAGCAGTCACCTGCCGGACCCGGTTCACAGACCACAACGGGCGAACATTAAGCCTGTACTTTTGACCTCAGCCACCTTGATGGGCGAATTTTGCAAATGAAGGTGGGTGTGTCAGTAGTATATCTCTTTGGCGACCTTCCTGTCTGGGAAGAATCTTGTCCTCTCTGCTGCGCCGTCCCCCTGGGTCGCCTTCGTAGTCTGTGACGACTAGTCATGACTTTGGCTTGGGGGAGTAATACCTGCGGCGGGTGTGAACCCCTGTGTGTAAGAAGGCAAACGCTGGCACGCAATCAGAACACGAGCTAAGCAAAAATCCTGACAGTTGCCTGACACGTGTTCAGCTGATTTAATTTGCCTCTGGGGCCGAAACATCATGCTGACTCCTCGTAGGCAGACTTTGCCAGGCAAAACGTCCGGCGTCTCGTCTTGCCATCAGGTTCTCTAAATGTCCCATGTCCAAACTACTGCGTCTCCTTGGCCCCTAAGTACGGCGGATGATGGCGACTCATGAAACATCCTGGCTAAAATCTAGACGACCATTTTAGAGCAATTAAAATGAGATTCGTAAAAATCCCTTCCTCGGGCAAAATATGCTTTGAAGTGATTTTGTCATGGAATTGTTCACTAATTCGGGCGCAACTCAATCCCAACTTATATTTGGTCAACTATTTACGTTTCTAAATGAGCTAAGTCATATTTATGCATTTATACGCAATTTGGTGTCAAAGGACACCAATCTAAACGAAAGTGGTTAACTAAACAAACTTTGCTTACATAAAAACTGATTTTTTGTCTGCCCAATTCAGATTAAGCGGGATGTGAAAAAGCCCGTTATTTTCAGAGAACATGAAATCTGTTCTCCGTCGAAACTTCAGACTTGCAAATCTGTATGATTTATGCTCTATAGAGCAGTAATAACGCCTGCAGGAAATCTTGTGTTATAACACACCCCTGAGTTTTTGAAAAATGCCCATATTTCTTGAGCATCCGCGAAAAGCCACACTATGAAACAACAAACTTTGACGGCAACGGTATGGTAAAGGACCCTACTGAACTGTCTGTAGGATGAGAGTCAGGACATATGGGGTTTTATCTCGACATCTATTTGCAGGCCGTTGCAGACATTGCATTGACAACAATAATTACTTCCTATGACCTCAAACCATTAATTAAACTCCGTTATCTCTTTTAATATTTACATTTTCTTTATTTCTTTATTGTCGCACTCATTTCTGCACCTATACGAAAGTGTGCAGTATGACTTTCGACCGAAATCCAAACGATTTCTGCGTGCTCTTGCACTTCTTCAGCTTACTGTCTGGCGTGATTACGCACTCGTAAAACTCCCACTGCAAGCATTCACGTATGACTCGATCCACAGTCTACGAAATGTGAAGTGGGGTCCTTCACTATACCGTTGCCACTTTGACTTTTAAACATGTGCTACGACTGTCTTCATACTGTCTGGTTTCTGCCAGTAGGCAATCTTAATGCGAAACAGGCAAAGCATGCACGATTGAGCAATATTTTAATATTGATATTAATATATATTACTAGTACATATCATATATAATAAATACTAACAATATATATTGATATATGCACATCGTCTTTGAACAAAATCAAAATGCAAGCAAAGATGGCGCAAATGGATTCAGTATGCAGGGGAAAGTGGGATTATTCGTCTGCGGCAGAAAACGCATCAGTATCTGTCATGAAAGTGCATAAATGGACCAACCGTTCGAATTTATTCCTTTTATTTGGTAAAACAATACGTAAACAAACAAAGCCTGCCAAAACCCGTCTTCTTGATATACCTTATCCGAGAAGAATCTTTGACTGACCAAGAGTATATTTATCGCAGGCCTTCCTTGTGAAAGTTCATCAAGATAATAGAGTTACACGGAAACTGAAAACATGACAAGAAATTGAAATTCTCATATTTTTAACTTCCATGTAACTATATTGGTCCGATGAAGAGTTATCGAAAACACATGTTTGCTAGATTGACCTTTCAAGTTTAACACGGAAATATTCGCAGAAGATTGAAGTTCATTTTCTTCCGTGGCTGCCAGCTGGCTAGATAGATCGGTCCTCGTAGTTAGCGCTGTGGGTATGTACAGTTAGTGACCTAACTCA